ACGGAAGGTAATGAGATCTCTCCATCGTATGATTACTTTGAATGATAACTTGTAGAAATCAATTCTCAAGTATTATGTTTAGTACCCAGAACATGTTAGGTTCAGTATGTTAACATAGTTGGTACAAGCTCATCGATGTCGCCTAATTGTTGATTCACCCCTTCATCACAAATATACTCGAGTATTTCTCTTCGATTTGATTGATCTCTACCATACTCACATGCTCATGGCAAAATCCCAGCAATATTCCTGTACGCTCCAGCCTTACCTCTTCTGATTCTAAAGTTTAGAACGACCATACTAAAAGAGTATTGGTGTCCGTCCAATCATCTCCACTCTTTCTTACTTTCCTTCTTCCAGTTCAGTTGTTGTTCTCTTCTTGTTCTATTCAATCCTTCGTTTCCAGATAAGATCAACTGTGATAATCTTCCATCCCGAAACCTTTTTCTTGATCCCTCTAGATTTTATCACAATATGTACATCATCTGGATCAAAAAACGCGAGGTCATGTCACTATGAGTGATATTCATGATGATCTGTAATTTGATCTCACGAATGCTAATTGTCAGTTTCTTCGCCCCGCCGCTACCCATACCAACATCAGGAATCCCGAACAATGGATTCATACTTCCATCTCTTTTCGGGTTCTAACCTAAATATCCCGGAATGTGGGACCGTTTTTTTTTGACATCCACCTTAATCCGAGTCTCCGGTTTCGGGTCCAGAGTCTCGGTTTGTCTTCATTTTCTGTGCCGCCTTTCCATAAATCGATGGTACCAAGTTAGTTGTCGGTCTACTTATAAGGTATGAGACATTGTAGTCTCAAGATAACAACCAATATACATACATACACATACAAGTTCGATTCATTAGATACGAGATAAAGTAACGTAAAGCTGGTAAAGTATCAGTATACCAACCATTAAGCATCTCTCCCTCGTTCCCCACTGATCACCCACCATTCTCGTCATAACAATCAAACCACTACCATTCTTCAGCGAGATGGCGATGTACAGATCTCCGTCAATATCTCATCCTGTCCCTTCCTCTTTCCTCAAAACAACCAACGTTACGCAACATACAGCCGCATGACCAGAGGCAACACAAAATTTGGAACTAAAGAGCCACCCAGCCAGTGATCGTCAACGTCGGAGCTGGAGTCCGACTCCCATGGGATTTCGGTTGAATCCCGTTTTGTTGGTGCATGGATTTTCGGATTCGCTTTCTGTGCTATCACGATTGCTGGGAGAATCTGAGAAAAAAGTAAAAGAAGAGAGGAAATCTTGATTTTTGGAAAAGAATGGGATGTTGCTTTGGCCTTCCGATTTGTTCAATCGCAATGAGGAAGAAATTTCTGCAATGCGGGTGTGCTGCTGCAACCTTTACTTTTGGGCGCAATTGGGGAGAGATAGGGAATGAAAATGTTGCGAGGAGTCAAAGGTTTTCGTGATGAAATGGTATGATTGGTGGCGTCAAATTGAGTTGAGGTTCTTTCACACTGATAATCGTATTTCAATGGTTGGGGTTAGTGTCGGGCTGAGACCTCACTTCGGAACTGGACACAATTGAGATCATACAATTCATATGTTACAAGGTCTCCTATCTAGATTGAATGGATACGAGAATGATCATAATCCATGAATATGGTATAGTTGGGCGGAGGATTGGGAATATCGAAATTGGGGGTCAGGCCAAGGAAGGCTAAGGATGATTTCGTTTTGGTAAGACCAGCCTCATTGCATCTCACGGTATCTACCTTGCCGCTTGTCTAGCGTTGCCGCTGTGCAGGGTATTGGTTCGTATGACTTTAATTCAGGTTGAAGTTGGAGTGGGGGTCTAAATCATCAATCGCGTCAGGAGTGTCAGGTGGGTGTTCTCCGGGATCTTACTGCAATCTCAACCCCGTTCTTCATCCATCTTCTACTCTTAACAATCACCATTACTAACGGAGATATCTCCTTGCGCAAACGTGTTGGGTGACTCAACGTCATGCATATGTGTATGCTTAAGCAAAGGCAAGGCGCAAGGCAAGGCACCATGAAGTGTTCAAGGTCTAAGTCGCTAGGTGAACATACATACTACTGCCTATTCTATACAGCTCGTCAAGGTAAACAATCACATGCCACTTCCCTATGCTTCTCTCCCCCTACCTGGAAATCCATGGCATAGCATACTCAAACCCTACTCCCCAATAGAAGGTAGGGAAAGACTCTAGTGCGCCTACATGTTTGCTTCATGCGTGAAGCCCGAGCCCAATATCTCGGATCCTCTACACTGAACCTATAACCTGAGTCGGCATAACAATAGCATCATCCTGGCAAAACAAACAATCGAGACAAAACAAGACAAGACATGCTGGCTTGCAGCATTTCTTTGGCACCTGGGCCGAGTACGGCAACTGTACAGTAAAAGAAATTACCCTAATGCAAATGTATGTACATGCACGTGTGCGTGTCAGAACTATATTCAATGAATGAAGCAAAGCAATTTCCTATCTCATCATTCCACTACTGAAATGGAATATCCAGGGATAGTTCTGGGTGGAGTGGCTAAACCACTTTTGAGAATCCATCCCGGGGTTTCACAAGGCTGATTTACTTCCGGTTTGGGTGGGTTGGGTCAAGAGGTGAAAAGAGATGAGGATGCAGGCGTGCTCATGAATGTTTCTTATTAGTTGATCATAGTGAGGTAATGAGTAGGTGGGTGAAAAAATGATGTGATCAGGTTAAAGTCCAAGGCGTGGAAGCCAAAGCTGGGATATCGTATCGTATGTTAGACAAAGACAAGCAGAAAGAGATGAGATGGCGGTAGGGATATCTGAGAGATTGATGACGAAGAACTGGTGGGGGAATAAGTGGTGTGTTGTACTAGAAGAGTGTTCGAATCTTTTCACTGGCTTCTTTACTTTACTTCATGAGTCTTCTGAAAACTAGTTTCTGCAGTTTCCCATGTTGATTTTGCCATGAATAGATGGTGTTGAACAAAGCACCACCTGGCTCATCTACCATAAGCTTTCGGGACTCGAGTATATTTCAAGTGACACTGGCACAAAGGATTCGTGACCTAGGTCAATCTGATATGATGCACTCAGTGGCACCTTAAGCTTTCTCTAACTCCAAGCTTCAACCAACTTGTGATTTGTATGTCCAATTAAGGTTCTCGCACTACCACAATAGCGCAGATCCCCCATTCTTAAGCATCCCAGTACATACCTGTGCTGACCAGCTTGTTCAAGCCCGCACCATCAATACGCTAATGGATCTCGGCACTAATGCCGATATTATACTATGACTTGAGTTCAAAAAACTTGGATTGATATCGCGTAATCCTTTCTGCTGTCGCAACTTGATGTGTGGAGCGTTGAAATCTAAAGACACGAATCATTTTCGACAGAAAACTTCAAGACTCGATGGTGGGACGTCACTTGCAAGGTACATCCTTTCATCTTTGGGCAAGTCTTTTCGACTCTCCGCCTTTCAGCATCTCTGCGCCCCACACCGAGGCCAGTCCAAGCCTTAGACTCCAAATTAACCTTCCCCAACTCTCCTAGCTAAACGCTACCCGTCAACAGCTAACTCCGCTTCTACACAGCCCCCTTGCCCCTTGATGTTTGGTTCGTCCTCTCGCAGAAGCGAAGTCGCAAATGCGTATAGATTTTCTTGCCGCTAGTTTGTTGATAAGCTATTACGCTGAAGTCATTTCATCACTTTCTACGTTTTGCAATTGCTACTTGTTTTCAGCGGGGACCTCTCTGTTTCGGAGATGGAGATAAAAAGGAGATAAGGGAGTTAAAGGGGATGAACCATGGGTCCAAGCCCCAGGGTCTGTAGATTGATAGTATTTGATACTAAGGAGTCGAATAGAGCGATGGGAGTTAAGCGTCGGATGGAACTTGATGAATCGAGAGAAAATTAAGGACATGAACGGGGCCGTCTGCGGAGAGAACACGGGGTTGAGATAAAGTGTAGAGTCATTGATGAGGTCAAACCGATCTTGATCAATTTGAACATTGACGGTTCTTGAGCAGGGACTACGGTTAGATTAGCTGAAGCGTAGGTTTTGTGACTGGATTTGAAGATCACCACTTCTTCAAATCCGGATAATTACAATACTTTGAGAGCTTTCATGATAATCATTGTCGTCGTCGATTTTTTCACATTCCAATGTATGTAAATTTGTTGTCTATCTAGCTCTAGAATTCTTCCTTCAATTTTGATGTCTCTTCTCTTCGTTGCGTCATCTTCCCTCGAAACCGGTCAAGTATTTATCTGTAAGTGGATGCTGTCAGTCCTGTCAGTCGTGTGAGGATTTATCTTGCTAGATAATCTCATTTAATCTCATCCCACATCTTGTCCCGGGTGTCGGTGGAACGATGAAAGTTCAGATGGGAATCAAAGCAGCAGATATACTCGAGTAGCTCCGACAACTAGAACAATCTAGGCGTCGAATTATACAGTTTCATACATCAGATGAAATTTGATGACACAAGGGAAGGTGACTGCGCTGTTCAATTGTTCTTCCTGTATAGTATATGGCCTTATTCCTAATGCTCTGGGATTACGACAAGATAATCTTTTGCATCCAACGTATCTTAGATGCTCCAGGGAGCGATATGATGCTGAGCCAGAACCACAGCGTCGTATGTTCAGGGCGTTCAATAGACCGGACAAGCAGAATAGATGTGAAAGCTTTCAATGTTCGAAATATGAGTAGCCTTTGAATACAGCTGGATATTCAAATGAATTGGTTATCTGAAAGGGATTCGATAGTCAGGGACCCATTATCGAACTGCAGTTCGAACTACTGGAAATCCTGCCCAGTTTTTGTCTTCGGTATGAAGAGATGTAATATAGACACTTCAATTGATTATCTATACTCGTTGTCCTATATACAATTACGCCATCTTGATAACCATCATCTACCCATCCGTGTATTTCGTTTATAACCAATGCCATACCAATGATCCAAATGCCATCTAATGCCTAACTGACTACCTAACCCTAAGACTCCCAAGCACTATTGGCGATCGCCGTTGCCAAATCATCATTCCAATTTCTAGCAGCAGCACCCCGAACAATCGGTTCAGCAGCCTCTTGAATAAGAGCCCTCGACCTAACACCATTGATGTTCGGGTCAATAATGAGATCCATCCACTGTAACCCTTTGCTTTTCCTCATCCTATTTATGTGATTCTTCACTTTCAACCCATCAGATATAGCCTTCTTAATTACACATTTTTCTTTTTCGGACCACCCTTCAAAATCCGGTATCTCGAGGTCGGGGCCATCTCCTTTCATCCCACTTCTCAATATCAAAGTGCCCAATCTTCTCCACTGATTACCCCAATCCACACCATTCGCGTCCGCCAACGCTAATATCCATTCTGAACAGCCTTCCAGATCCAGATACTCGAGTCCATAAACGCCATTTGCCAATTTCTTCAACACCAGTGCCGATTCCGAAAAGTCGTCATCAAGAGTCCGTGAATAGATATTACTAGCACCATACTGAATATCTCTTCTTCCAGGAATTGGTGACTCAAAAACAGTCGTATTTGAGTTTGGAGCGAGTGAAGGAGGGGGCCAGTAGGCGAGTGAGAGATGAGTAAGGGTTCGGATATGGGGCGTGAGAGCAAGAAGACGTGACCAAGAGATTGAAGGCGGAGGATGAGAAAGCGACAAGTGAGTGAGATGTGGAAGGGTTGCGGGCAAAGATCGAGGTATTGAATCTTTGTTGAAAGCGGTAGTCGTAAGAAAGGTTGAGAGCTGTTTCAAGCTGACGGATCTCCCTATTGAACCACCAAGATCGAGGCGAAAGAAGTCATCATTATTCCCTCTAGCGAACCTCCCATCAACTTCTTCTTCCCAATCCTCTGTCTCCTCTTGGATCCGTTCTCGTGCTGCACAAGCACCATCCGTAGCGCTTTCCTCCAGCACCGGCAAAGTCAGCAAGCTTTTAAATTCTTGAATTCCGACGCCTTCCTCCGGCCCATAAACAGCAATGTAACTCAGCAGCCCCATCCTCAAACCCACCGGCAACATTGCCAGATTATTTGACTCATAGACACTCATGTTTTCCCAGTCCCTGGCCAAACCCCTTAAACACATCTCTAGCAAACTCCTTCCCCCATTTCGCCCACTCCCATTTGTGTCATCACCCAGACCAGGAAAATGCCCGACCCCTCTTGGGAATAACCGCCCCTCTCCTCCATTTTGCTGTAAGCGGAATCGCCTTCGGACGTCAGCAGGCGTGTGCCTAGTTCCTTCTAGCCAACTTCTGGGTGGCGCGGGACCAGCAGGTATGCGTCGCCCATTGGCATCGAGACGCCGGTTGTGGACGGGTCTGCGGGGAGTAGGCGAGGGAGTTTCGGGATGGGAGAGGAGATGGCGGATTTGAGGAGGGAGGGTATGGGTGGAGGGACTGAGCGAAGAAGCGGCGCGAAGGTGTTCGGTGGGAGATATACCGATTCTGCGGGCGGAGTTTATTAAATCATTTACTGACGGAACATTGTTATCTGTTGCACAATGCGCGCATTAGTTGAAAGATCAATGGGAGGGTGGCGGGGTACAATGAGGGCTGTTCGACATGATGGACGTACTTTGCGATGTCGAAGCAGAAGAAGAAGCGCTAGAATTGAGTGACGGATGAACTGTACTGGCAGGTTTCGAATAGTGTGATGTAAATCGTTTCTTAGGCATGAATAATACGTCTTGTGGTTTTATTTACTCGAGTATTTATTGTTTGCAATTTAAAGAAGTTCAATGAAATATAAGGTGCTCCAGCATGATGCAACTTGGAGTTTCGGCGCCTAAAACATGCCTATGGAATAAGCATCCTTCAGTGAGTCATATCACGCCAAATAGGCGAGATTGATGAAGGAGTACGGGTAAATGATAGGGGGTGTTGGTTTTATTTTTAATGACCTTGCTACTGATATAGATGGAGTCATACTGTACTATTCTTACCGTTAATTAATGTTTTGTTGTGTGGATAGATTGAATTGAGGACAGTCATCGAAAATGCCGACTCAAGTCAAAGTATCTCACTCTCTCACTCTCTCACTCATCTCATCTTGATCTTTACAATCTTTTTTGTACTCATAAATTAGGCTGTACTCCTTCTTATATCGAATTCTCATCATGGGATAGAGCAGAGCCTTTAAACTTGGGGATCACGATGATTTGCATTCCAAAGAATACTGGTCTAGTGGCCACATCATGCCGACTTTCTATCATATCAGATCTTGGAGGATCAACCGCTTTCTAATTCGGTAATAAGTTGTATATCATACTACGACTATTACTGCAGTTGCTCGCGAGTGTGAGGAAATCCCCTGGTATTAAGTGTCTTGCTTGGGCTTGTGTCAGTCCCCTGTGGACCATCCTTTGGCATTCAAATATATTCCTCAACGCCG